GTCTATTTGAATTCGATTGCGTATTTTTATTTATTCACGAACATTTTCGAACCAAAGTCTACTTCATTTTCATGCAATTTAAGTTTGCCTCATCAACACTTCCATCACAGCATGTGATATGGGAAATTGCATCACCTGTCTTGAAATTCCCATCTTCCTCGTGGCGATGTGTCGTAGCAGTTAGCGTGTCGAGATTACACGCTGCACTGTCATAGTCCGAGTCCCGCTGAGGGTGTTGACACGACCTATGCAAGGTCAAAGTTGTTGTCAATTTCAGCTTGTATGCGAATACACGTTGTTATAGCGAATTTATGTGAAATTCAATGCGAGCATTAGGTCTACTCATATGATTGTGAAAAATGCCAATACCAGTCCTTCATCACCTTAAACGAAATGGGCTGAACACATTTCATACATTATCGTTTTGTCATTAACCAGTAAAATGAGTCATTAAATATCCCATTTTGGCTCGACTTTGCGTCATTTCAAGCCAACTTGTCGTTACACATTGCGCTCCGACTTAATTGCTATTTCCTCTTTTCACCGCCTCCACCACCATCCTCGCCTCTCTCGATTGTACTGCTGCCATGGTTACAGAAAAGACGGCCTCTACACGGACTCATGTCGAGCTGGGCCATCTGGGACAGCAGAAAGCCGGCACCGCTCGGCAGCACATGCATTCGTGGGACGCATGTGAAGGCTTGGCAACATGTTTACCGGCTGCCTGAGGCGACAAGGAACTCCGCAGTTGCTTGACGACACAGTCGGTGCCAGCCGGGCCCTGGCCTGACCGACTGTACCGGGTCCGATCTGTACCGATCAGGACAGCCGAGAGCGTCTCAGTGTTGATCTGCTCGTGCGGCTCTGCTGTACATCTGAACCGTGGGGAGAAGCTGATCAGCGGCCGTCTAGCGTGTGCACATTTTCACGAGCCAAGACAAGCATAAAGGAAGAAACGATGCAGGAAGTGAATGAGACAAGCGCGCACAACAGAAAACACAATCCACACACGTCCAAGGTGTGAAGAGAGAGGTGGAAGCCTGTTTGGCGGCTGACGCATAAACACGTGACGGAAGTTTTTCCGAGAATTGTAGACAATGTGACAGGCGAGATTGTTTTACGAGCTTACATGACACCATGTAAGACTGGAGAGAAAATGGGTAATTCACAATTGAGAATGGGGTGGGAAAAATTGCAGAACATAAAGGTGAATTTATTAAAAAAAACTGCAGCATAATAGTAATGATCATTTGTAGTGAAAAGGGTTTTATTTAGATTGTACTGCGTTTCTTGTCAGTCCTACTGTTAGTCAATTTGATTAATTGCATCTACTCCTGAAAAATGTACACTTTAACATTTCTATGGCGGAATTAAACAGACCTTTTTCTTTATCAATTCTACCCGTTTGACATCGCATACTTTGATTCCTTTCTTCCCCATTAACACCGTTGTTAATTAGCTTATGACATGAAAATGAAATGCATTTGGGTTCGCAAATGTCCATGAATATTAAAAAATACCAAATCTAATTCAATCTAATTCAAATAACTAAATAAATATCTGTACATCCACTTCTCCTAACCATATTGAGCAAAGATATGAAGACCAAGATGTTGTGACCATCAGTATGGTCGCAGGCTTATTTACAGGCATAGAAGGGGGTTGACCTTGTTTTCGTAACTTGGTCTTGTTGTCAGAGCGACTTAGTTGGACGAGCATTGTCCGAAGTCCTCTGGACTTGTCGCCAAGTCCACGGTCTGATGGTGCCAAACATGACAAATTCGATGGCAGAGGACGACTAACAAAGTGGGTTCAACTAACTCTCCCCGAGAAAAGACTAAGTTTTAGAAACGAGCCGAACCAAATTTTATTAAGAAATATTTTCACTGCCATCCAATCGAGGGAGGCGAGGATGTGGGTGAGGC